TTTTAAAGTTTAACCAACGGGATCAGCATTCCCACATGGCAGCAATTGGCTAACGTTGAGTAGGGCCTCTCTCTTTACACTGAAGATCACTCTGCTCACCACAGGTCTCATTACTGCTGATTTATTCCAGTAGGAGGCCAGGGCCCAGCATCACTTGTCTCCTACACTTAGCCCTTTTCATGTATCTGTGCCTGCTGCTTCGCCCCAAATCTGAGATCCCTGATCTCAGCAGGAATAGGACATGGACAAGAGAATACTAGAAGAAGAATGTACTTGAATGAGTATATATGGGGGGGGAGGGTAGGCAGAATAAAGCCTCCCTCCCAAGATGTCCATGTCCTAATCCTTGAGATCTGTGCTAATCAGCTGGCTTTAAGATAAGAAGATTGTCCTGGATTGTCTGGGTGGGCCCAGTGTAATCATGTTACTGTTAGTAACCATGGAGTCGATTCTGACTCATGGCGACCCCATGTGTGCAGTGTAGAACTGCCCCATAGGGCTTTCAAGGCTGTGTAATCCTAAGAGTCCTTTAAAGGTGGACGAGGGAGGCAGAAGAATGAGTGTCAGTGTGATCTGATGTGCGACGTGAGGAAGATTTGACCATCCAAGATGGAAGTTTTGAAGATGGAAGGGAGCCACAAGCCAAGGAATGAGGGCAGCCTCTAGAAGAGGAAAAAGCAAGAAAACAGGTTCTCACCTGGAGCCTCCAGAAGGAGCACAGCCCTGAGGATACCTTGATTTTAGCCCAGTGAGACCTGTTCCAGACTTCTGACCCCCACAACTGTAAGATGATAAGTTTCTGTTGTTTTAAGACACTAAGTTTGTGGTGGTTTACTCCAGCCGCAATAGGAAACTTTAGTGTGTAGGTGTATAAGGTTGCAGGGGAGTTAAGAGTGGACAAGAGAAACTTCCCAGAAAGGGAGGGGGACACTTCGCTGTCCTCACAGACATCTGGCTCCCAGGCTTGGAACCAGCTGTTCCAGCCTCTCCTGGCAGGGTCCCTTAGGTCTCCCCACAGCATCACCTGAGCACCTGCAAGGGCCTGGTGGTCTGCAAAGCCCTGAACACTTGCTCCCTCAAATGATCCCAAAGGTCCCCTGCCAGGTCCACATCCCCGGGCAATTGGTCCTCAATATACAAAGGAGGAAACTGAGGCCTGGATAAAGGGAGTGTAGCCCAGGAGCAGTGCTCTACCTGAGGGCAGGAAACGGCCAGATGCCACACCTGAGAACTCACAGTTCCTGTGAGGCTGACCTGGTCCTTCCACAGACCCCCTACAACTGAACAAGCCCAGGCAGGCTCCTGTCCACATATGTGCTGAGAATGCGGCCCCACAATTGCTGGGTGTCATCATAATTGCCACCCTCCACACCCTCCCGGTCCCTCCTCCCTGGAGACAGGACCACGAGCCAAAGCCAGGGCCCACCTGACCACTGTCCAGGCCCAGTCAGACCCTCGGAAGCAGAACACTTGGCTTCCACTGGTGGCCGGGAGGAGTGTCACAATGGAGCAGGGAGGTTCTCAGGGTGGGGTGGGAATGGTGAGGGGCAGCATTCCACTCCAGGGACCCGACTGGCCACAGCCCCTAAGGACAGAATGAGGTAAGGCTGGGACAGTCTCCACATGAGCCAGCCCTGTGAGTTCTAGTCCCTGTGCCTTTGCATGGGGAGCTCATCCCCACTTACGGAAATTCTCCCCATCCTTCCAGATAGAACTGTTGTTAGCTGTCTCTGATGGCATCACTGCAAGTGGCTTGTCCCTGCCCACATCCCCTGCTGTCTGTCCCTCTATAACACTTCCCTGCCAACCAGCACTGGTCAGAGCTACCCGCATCTGGCCCATCTCCCCCACAAGCCAGAGGCTTCTGCCAGCTTGGGGGTACAGAGCTCCAGTCTCTGTGTGTGAGGGGGAGAAAGGGGGTCAGCACAGGGCCAGGTACACAGCAGCCCCAGGAGGGCAACAGATGGCCTCTTGCCAGGGAGGAGAAAGCCTTGTCCTTTCCTGCTGAGCTGGCCCACGGGAGCCAGAGAGAGCAGATTTCACAATGGGGTCATTCAGCATCAGATACCATCCTCTGAGCAGCGCAAGCCCCACTGGGTCACGGGCCCCACTGGCTCACGGGTCCCGCCTCTGCTTCCGGATGCTGCAGCGACAGAGCTCTCTCCTCCTCACCCCATTCAGGATGCTGCCCTGATGGGCTTTGGAGGGAAAAAGGCACAACTGCAGGGGTAGCTAGGAGCAAGGCCTGCCTGATACAGTCAGCAGACGCCACACATGTTCAGGATTCTGGCAAACTTGGGGCCACCAAAACGTTGAAAATATTGTTTTGAAAAGAATTTGGTTCCGAAATGATGACATTTCAGTAAAAAGCCATCGAAGTATTCATCATGGGAAAAAGCAGGTTTTGAACCTCTTTATGCCTATTTTAAGGAGCCCTGGTGGCACAGTGGTTAAAGCACTCACTGCTAACCAAAAGGTCTGCAGTTTGAATTCACCAGCTGCTCCTTAGAACCCTATGGGGCAGTTCTACTCTGTCCAGTAGAGTTGCTGTGAGTCGGAATCAACTCAACCGCAACAAGTTTGGTTTTTGTTTTTGTTTTTTTTTTTGGTGACTGTCATGGATTGAATTATGTCCCCCCCAAAATGTATCAATCTGGCTGGGCCATGATTCCCAGTATTGTGTGGTTGTCCTCCATTTTATGCTTGTAATTTTATGTTAAAGAGGATTAGGGTGAGATTGTAACACCCTTACTAAGGTCACATCCCTGACCCAATGTAAAGGGAGTTTCCCTGGGGTGTGGCCTGCACCCTTTCTTGTAAGAGATAAAAGGAAAGGGAAGCAAGCAGAGAGTTGGGGACCTCATACCACCAAGAAAGCAGTGCCGGGAGCAGAGCGTATCTTTTGGACCTGGGGTCCCTGTGCAAAGAAGCTCCTCAACCAGGGACACACTGATGAGAAGGACCTTCCTCCAGAGCTGACAGAGAAAGAAAGCCTTCCCCTGGAGCTGACACCCTGAATTTGGACAAGAAAGATAGGTTTCTACAAGAGGGAAGGGCCACAAGTGGTCGAGAAGCAGCAGTGGGGAGGCAAGAGGCCCTGACTCAGCTCCCTGAGAGCCAGGAGATGGAGTGCCATTCCACGCAGGGCTGAGGATTCGAGGGCTTCTACTGGATTTGGAGCGGCATTTCCAGAGTGTCGAGATTAGGAGGTGGAGCTGGGTGGGGTTGGGGGTTAGGTCAGTGGAACTGGAGTCAGAGGGGACAGTGGTGAAATACAGGAATAGCTGGCTAGGGAGTCTGGGGGTATCTTAGGCTTGGGACATTCAACGAGTGAACACAAGATGCGCAGGAGAGTGGTTTTAATCTCAGAGGCCTCTTTGAGGAGGGCAGGCACTGGGCCTGGAGGATAGGGGGCTTCCCCTGGGTGGAGCCAAAGGAGACCAGGAAGCCAAGCTCCATCCCCAGAGCACAGGCCAGCTGTGCAATTAATTGTTCTCAGATGCAGCCACTTCCCAGTTCCACCACCATCATCCCACTTCATCATTGGGATGTTTTGAGGGTAAAATGAGATAACGTTTGCTATTACAGTAGACCTGTGAAAGCTGGAATCTGTGTAAGGCAGAAACCTGTCAGAGAAGGAAAATACAAATATTTTCCACTAAAATGAGCAATAGAAGAGTTGTAAGACTGCACTTTGTCAAAGGCAGAAAACTTGTGAGACCCGGAAGAACAAGACAGCCCAGTCGCATCCAGCTCTCACTGTGATTTTATTGCTGTGATGATGTCCTGCCTGGTTTCTCTGCTTCCACTTTTGTCCTCTACCAACACAATTTCCAAATATAAAGTGATTTTTAAAAATACAAATCTTATCAGCCAGTCCCCTGCTTAACAAAAAAAAAAAGGAAAAATCAGTATTTTTTGTTACCCTCCAAAAAAAGTTCCAAATTAAGGATACAGCTTTACAAGCCCCCTAGTGTCTGGTTCTTCAAACTCCCGGCAATCCCTCCAGCTGCGTGCAGCACCCACCCATTGCTAGCCTTCAGGCCCAGAAGCTCCGGGGCACCCCCAGCCTTCCTTCTCTGCATCTGGCTGCCTCTGGCTCATCCTTCAGTTCTCCCCTCAGACATCTGTCCTCAGTGGGCATTCCATGCTCCGCATGCTCAGTCAGCTACCTTGTTCCACACCCCACAGGGTCCTTGCCTCCTCATCTGTGACCCTTCTCCTGGAGTTCCGGGGAACCATTTAAGAGCTGCAGATGAGCTTTGGCTCTCTGAGTCCAGCATGCAGGGCAAGTCACATGGGGTCTCCCTGACTTGTCAGAGAGTGGGCAAATAGGTAAACAAGTGGTGCAGAGACCAGGGGTGGATGGGCCAGGGCCACGCCTGAAGACTTAGCTCTGCCTCGTGCCTGGCACCATACTGGGAGGGGGGGTGTTATGGATTGAATTGTGTCCCCCCAAAACGTGTCAAACTGGCTAGGCCATGATTCCCAGTACTGTGTGATTGTCCTCCATTTTGTGATCTGATTATCCTCCATTTTGTGATGTGTTATAAATCCTAGACTCTACGCCTATGGTTATGGTCCCATTTGGGAGTGAGCTGTTATGTTAACGAGGCAAGATTAGGTCATGATAATGAGGATTAGTGTGGGATGCAACACACTTACTCAGGTCACAGTCCTGATCTGAAGTAAGGGAAGTTTCCCTGGGGAAACTCTTACAAGAGAAAAAAGGAGAGAGAACCAAGCAGAGAGATAGGGACCTCATGCCACCAAAAAAGAAAAGCCAGGAGTGGAGCGCATCCTTTGGACTTGGGGTCCCTGTGCTGAGAACCTCCTAGACCCAGGGGAAAATTGGTGCCAAGATACATGGAGAACTCCAAGGAACACCAGGTCCACAGATGTTGAAAGGAAACAAGGACCTTCCCCCAGAGCCAACACAGAAAGCCTTCTCCTGGAGTTGGTGCCCTGAATTCAGACTTCTAGCCTCTTAAACTGTGGACAATAAACTTCTGTTTGTTAAAGCCATCCACTTGTGGTGTTTCTGTTATTGCAGCACTAGAAAACTAAGACAGGGGGTGTTAGGACCTTCGGGGGCAGACTGCTGGACGTCTTTGCCTTTCACAGCCGGTTAGGGCACCCAGTACTAGACTCCCCAACAACTGGTGCTATCGGGACCTATGAAATCATTTATCCTAAAATGCGGAGGCTGAGGCCCAGAGGAGGTACAGCTCCTGCCCCAAGGCCTACAATCTGAGTCCTGCATTAGCCTCCACAAAACTAACCATAAACACTGAGTAATGAGTCCACTGCTAGCATGGCCCCCAAATCCAACTGCGGTTCCTTCTAGTGCCTGGGTGCTACACTGTGCCAACAAAGACTTTCAAGAGTCCCCAGGGGAGAGTTTAGCTTGGGAGTCTGTGAAAGAGTATGCAGCTGGAAGCTAACTAAAAACATTTGCCCATCACTCTAAAACTGAGAACCATGGATAATACGCATTTGAAAGCAACGTGCTGGATGCATCCTATGCTGGATTTACAAAGACAGCAAAACAGGTCCAGAACCCACCACCCCTTCCAGGCTGCATAAGAGAAGGTGAGCACAAGGGAGGGAGTAGGGGTACCTGTGAGAAGGGGAGACTGGAATCTCACTTCCTGGTGGGAGGTTGGCTGGAGATGCCATTGAGGACAGGGCAAAGAGTGGGAGCAGTGGTTGGTAAGCTTTTTCCACTATTGGGTGGGGCAAAGACTTATGGTGTTCTTGTAGGCTTCTGGTAGCTTGATGGGACCTCACCCCACAGGCTGTCTTCTAAGGTAAGGGAATGCCAGCAGTAGGAGAGACTATATGGGGAGCAATGTTGGGGGCAGAAGCTGAAGAGGGGTCCCAAGAGTTCTGCCGTGAGTACACTGCTTATATTTAAAAAAACACAGAGGTCTTGAGAAGATCTCTGAAAACCCACAAGCATGCCCCCGTGGAAAAGCCAGCTTTTGGAAACCTGCCATAATGGACTGATGATCTGCAGTATAAACCTGGAAAGAGCTACCAACAGCAGCAGCTAAGTGAAGACCTCTGTCCTTTTCCCTTGTTTTGTGTGGGCCCTTGGGGAGCCAGAAGCAGCAGAGCTTGAGGGAGGGCAGTGAGCAAGGAATAGAACAAACCCCTTCTCCCTCCTTCCCCACTGCTGGTCCCTGAGCCACACAGAGGTTAGGCACGAGCCGAGCTGGGGCCAAGGGGGTGGAGGGTCTTTGAACAGAATGCAAGACTGAAGCTTTGGTTTGGAGTGGATGTGGAGTTTTCTCTCAGTAGTATCAAATGTCCTGTGGGGCCCCATCTTAGCCAGAGAGGCCTTGTCCAGGCACTAGAAGACATCACAATCTTCTCTTCATCCACAGCCTTTTCATCCACCTGCCTCAACAGAGTCCACAACTTCAAATGTATCCTCCTTCTGTTCCCACATACTTGGAAAGGCATTCTGTTCCCACATACTTGGGGTAGGAAGGCTCCAGACTGAAAGGATCAGGGGAGCCATACCCCTACAAGATTAGCAGAGAACAATTTAAGCCTAAGACACAACCCAGACCCTAACCCAGGGTATTGGAGATGGGATGCCTGACCGGGGTTCTGGAGATGAGAAAGGTGAAGGGGTAGGGGGTGTCCTGTCCCAGATGGTTCTGGATTTGGGCTTAGCAGTGGGGGTGGGGTTCATGGTGTCCTGCCTCCATAAGCAAGCCTGGCCTTGTCCCTGGGTCCTCACAGGTCCCGGCCATATCCAGGGGAATATTTAGGCAGGTCCCCTGCTGCTGATGTCTGGCTACAATCAGAAGTGCTGCTCACGGCAGTCACCCCCTTAGGCTGGAAGCTCTTCTGTGGCATCTGTTTCTTTTTCTGAGGGCGCTGGCTTCGGGGACCTAGAGGGAGTAGAAGGTTGTCACTGGCTGTCCAGGAACTGGTCCCATGGCAGTGTTCCTCACCATCCCCCTCCCCAAAGTAAGGGGGAATTTGACCCAAAGCCAGTCCAGATGACTATGGTTCCAGATGGATCCATACTTGGCCTCCAAGCAACAATGGACTAACAGTGAGGTGGAAGCCTGGGCCTCTGGGAGAGGGGTCACTGATATGAGGCCGTGGTCCTGTACTTCAGAGAAAGGAAGCATCTCACCGTCATGGGACCCCTGCTCCAGGTCCTCAACGGTGTCCTTCCGGGTCTGGCCACGTGTCTCTGGTAGCAGGACACACAGCAAGCCTGCACGATGGGGAGACTGCCATAGATGATCATAGGGAGGGCCGCATAGTATTCTTCCAGCAGGATCACGAGTAGTGTGATGATACCCCCAATCCTTGAGAAGATGGCCACCAGCCCCATGCCTGTCTGCCTGGGGAAGGCTAGCCTAGGCTAAGCACACCTGGCCTGAACTCCAGGCCACAGCTCCATGCTAGCACACTTCCTTGGGACAGGCCAGACCCTTTACTATGAGCCCCAAAGTCCGCAGGCCCTCCAGCCTAATCCAGGCTCCCCTCAGCCCTCTTGCTCTTTACTCCTGTACACTGAACTACTCGTAGTCCAACTGTCGCACTTGTATTGTGCCGTGTTTGTCCCACCTCCATCTGCCTGTCTCCCACACACCTGTCAAGTCTCAGGTCAAAGGCTACACCTCCTGACCACCCCCCTTCCCCCAACTGAGTGTTCCTTCTCCTGGGCCACTCATACCCCATAGTCCAGTCCTGACCTGGTAGGGCATGGCCTACTTTCTTACCTGTCCTCCACCAGCCTGGGAGCAACTTGAGAGCTTGGACTAGATCTCTAATTGCCATGGACCCCACCTAGCACTGCTGCCCCAGAACCAACCCCGTCAACTATTTGTGGAATGGTGGTGAGGGCAGAAGGAGGAAGGGTCAAAATCAGGGTCTCGGGAACAGAGGAGCAAAACCTGCACCAGCAGCCCTTACCGGATGATGGTGGGGAAGAGCTCAGCAGAGGACATGTAGGAGATGGTAAATCCAGCAGCGGTGGCAAACTTCCCCATTACGGCCAGCACAGTGACCACCACGGGCAGATCTGGGGAAGGACATGGGAGACAGACAGCCCCATCACCTGGGCCCTGCCCTGTCCACCCAAACTCCTCACCCCTTCTGTACCCAAACCCTGGGGAAGCTTTCACTCCTAGAAGGGAAGCAATGTCCATAGGTCTAGCCCCTGATGCAAGGTGGGTGGGAGTGGATGGGGATGGGGGACAGCCAGCCCTGGTACCTGCTGGGATGAAGATGATGATGATACACATGAGGCCACCCAGAACTAGAGTCCCCAGCTGGCTCCACTTGCGGCCCGACTTCTGCATCATGAAGACGCTGGAATAGCGAGCGGGCACCTCAACTGCTCCAAAGATTAGCTGTGTCAGGTAGATGTCCACGCAAAGTCCCCCACTTTGAGGCCCATGCCAAAATACACCAGACTGTCCACAAACCTACAAATTGTCCAAGAGTCCCTGTCACTGCTAGGTGACAAGTCACCATCACACCAAGAGGGAGAGTCTGCTTTGGCCGGGAGTCACAATGGGAGATAGCAGCACAGCCAGGGAGAGACAGTCGTTCCCAGACAGACCATCCCAGCCAGACAGCCTCCATCTCACCATTCCACTGACACAGACCAGGGAAAGACAGCCAGAGAACCACCATCCCACCAGACAGACCATCCCAGCCAGAAAGCCACCATCCCACAGACAGATCATCCCAGCCAGAGAACCACCATCCCACCAGACAGACCATCCCAGCCAGAGAGCCACCATCCCACAGACAGATCATCCCAGCCAGAGAACCACCATCCCACCAGACAGACCATCCCAGCCAGAGAACCACCATCCCACCAGACAGACCATCCCAGCCAGAGAACCACCATTCCACCATTCCACTGACATAGACCAGGGCAAGTCAGCCAGAGAGCCACCTCCCATCATTCCACTGATACAGACCAGGGCAGGGCAGCTCTTTGACTCTGTCCTCAAGGAAAGGCATGGGCCCTGGTGCACTCACCAAATGCAGAAGAGAATTAGGGTCACCTTCCTGAGCTGGGGGTGCCGGAACAAGTCCAGGGCATTCCCTGAGGGGTCTTTCTTCTCTGGATCCAGCTGGGAGGAAGATGCAGAGTGAGGGGCCAGGCAGAGAGGTCTGTGGATGTCAGATTTGGTGGCAGAGCTGGGCCTGGGCCTGCTGGAGATACCTGGTTCAGGAGCTCTGGTGACAGTTTCTGCTTGTTGACTCAAGCTGCCTTCTGGATCACTTGTTTGGCCTCCTCTACCCTCCCCCAGGTGAGAAGCCACCGTGCAGATTCTGGCAGAACCCTGTAGGCCAGGAACGGCTATGACCATTGGGTCCTGGAGTCCTGTGGAACCTCCCCTCTTCTCCAAGGAGCCTTCCTGGGCTGTTCAAGGGCACACTGAACCCCACACTCCAGCCTTTACAGGCTCCCCTTCCTGGCCGGTCTATGTCCCGCGTTTGGATCTGGGTGCTGTGCTCCAGCCCCCCATAGCACAGCTAAGCTAGGGGTGGCCTGTTCCTGGGAAGTGTCTCCTCACCAGAAGTAGAAGAAAAGTAGCAGGACAGGCGCCGAGCCAATAATCTGGAACAGCTGCCAGTTGCAGATGCCATAGGCAAGTCCTGCTAGTACCATCTGCCCGGCTGTCTTAGTCATCTAGTGCTGCTGTAATAGAAATACCACAAGATGTTGGTTTTAACAAAGAGAAGTTTATTTCCTTACAGTAAAGTAGGCTAAAAGTCCATATTCAGGGTGTCAGCTCCAGGGGAAGGCTTTCTCTCTTTCTTGGCCTTCTCATCAGTGTTCCCCTGGACTAGGAGCTTCTCGGTGCAGGGACCCCAGTCGAAAGGACGCGCTGTGCTCCTGGCACTGCTTCCTTGATGGTATGAGGTCCCCCAATTCTCTGCTTGCTTCCCTTTCCTTTTATCTCTTATAAGGTAAAAGTGGTGCAGGCCACACCCTAGGGAAACTCCCTTTACATTGGATCAGGGATGTGACCTGGGTAAGGGTGGTGTTACCATCCCACCCTAATCCTCTTTAATATAAAATTACAATCACAAAATGGAGGCCAACGACACAATTCTGGGAATCATGGCCCAACCAAATTGATACACTTATTTTTGGGGGGACATAATTCAAACCATGACACCAGCCGAAAAGGCACACCGGGCCGGGAACACAGCCTGGATCCTCCATGAGGGTCCTATCCACTCTGTAACTGTGGGAAGAGAGAGGCTGAGACTGGGCCAGAGCCTGCCTACCCACTCCCTGGAACTCCCCAGACGCCACCCGGTCAGGATCTGGGAACTCAGTGCTAGCACTAGAAGGTCCAGTATGACCACTTCAGGTGTGACAAGCTCCCCACAGGCAGTCTGGGACTCGTGGCCAGCCTGGGCTTTTGGAAGCCTGCCATAATGGATGTAGTTCAAGTCTTTAGGGCTCAGATATGTAGGGTGACATTACTGGAGGTGTACCCAGTGACAGCGGTGGCCACAGCAAAGTGCAGGGCTGTGTAGAGCTCAAAGGTGGGCATGAAGGCTGTGGACAGGCTGATGACGGCGAAGAGCAGCAGCTGCACCAGGACCTTGTGGCCAATCCTGTGTAGCAAAGAGGCAGGTCTGTGGGTACGCTCCCTCTTGGGAGCCTATCTGAGGGGAAGAAGCAAGGAAGACCCAATCCTGTCCTGAGGAGGGTCTGAGGAGGAGACATGGTCTGTCCCTGGGAGCCCCATTTGAGGGCAGGGGGAACATGGCCTTGCCCTGGAGTCCAGTGTGAGGGGCACAGGGAGAAATTTGGCCCTGGCCCAGAAGCCTAAGTGCATGCTAGGTGAGGGGACAGCTGGTCAGGGCTCTGACCAGTCACAGATGGGCCCAACGATGAGAGAGCCAACGAGCAGCCCAGCCATGGACACTGACTGCGAGGTCTCCTTCAGGTGCTTCCGGTCACAAACCAGGTCAAACTGAGGCAGATACAGGCAGGTGGGAGTCTAGGGCACCCTTGCCCTCTGCAATTGCCAAACTGTGCGCTGAGGTGCCCCAGGCATACCAGTGAACTCATGGGGCACAGCAGGATATTTTAAATTTTAAAGGGAAACACAGCAGTATTTGACATTAGTCCAATAGCACGCAGACTACCAGCACAGGACAGTTCACAGTTTCAACACTGGATCATGCTACCTCCCTTTCAATGACATCATATCTACGTGAAGCTGTGTTTTTGGCAGTTGCTGTGATAAAAAGCAAGTATTGTGTGAAAATCAATGTGGAACAGAATACGAGGGTGGTGGTGTCCGAGGCTTGGGCTGAACTCTGTCCCCCAAAAAGCTATGCTGAAGTCCTGATCTCTGGAACCTGTGAACGTAACCTTATTTGGAAAAGGGGTATTTGTAGATGTAATCAATTAAGACAAGGTCATGAGGATAGACTCTAATCCAATATACGTGGTGTCCTTAAAAGAAGAGACACAGAAACACAGACACACAGGGAGAACATCATGCATCAGCAGAGGCAGAGAGTGGCGTCATGGGTCTACAGGCCAAGCAATGCCAAGGATTGCTGGCAACCCCGGATGCTAAGAGAAGGAATGGAGCAGATTCTCCCTTAGAGCCTTCAGAGGGAACATTGCCCTGCCAACACCTTGACTGTGAAGGTCTAGCCTCCAGAACTGTGAGACAATGAGTGTTGTTTTAAGCCACCCAGTTTGTGGTCACTTGTTACAGTAGCACTGAGACACTAATCCAATAAGTGATTGTATTTATTAGGAATGAAATAAAAATATTTTTTCTTTTGATTTATGTGTGTATTTTTCAAATAGCTACTAAGTTGTTAGGACATGTGATGGTTAAGATTGTGTGTCAACTTGGCTGGGCCATGATTCTCAGTGTCTGTATGTGGTCACCCTCGTGATGGGATCTGCTGTGAGTAGCCAATCAGTTGAAAGGGAGTTTCCTTGGGCATGTGGCCTGCATCCGAATATAAGTGGATGTGCTGGCTTTCGCCTACTCTGGATCCTGCACTGCCTTCTGTTCGTCTGACCTCCGGTTCTTGGGACTTGAGCTAGCAGCTTATCTGCCAATGTTGGGATTCTTCAATCTTCATAGCCTGTGAGCAAGAGCCCTGCTCTCCAACCTGCTGATCTTGCGTTTGCCGGCCCCTGCGACTACGTGAATCAGGAGAAGCCTCTATTCCGATCCACGAACTTGGGACATTCCAGCCTCTACAATTGTGTGAACCATTTCCTTGATATAAATCTCTCTCTGTATATATTTATACACTTTACTGGTTTTGCTTCTCTAGAGACCCCAGCCTAAGACAAGACATAAGTACCTGTTAAGTTGTTTGGACCTAATTACTTAATAAAAAGAACCTGGAGATGCTGTGTATAAACTACTGACACGTTCAAGGATACAAAGGTTGGGGCAGACCACGAATTGCTGCTTCCTGACTATCTTGGCTATCTAGAGCTTCTGTAACAGAAATACCACAAGTGGATGGCTTTAACAAACAGAAATGTATTCTCTCACGGTCTAGGAGGCTAGAAGTCCGAATTCAGGGTGCCAGCTCCAGGGGAAACCTTTCTCTGTCAGCTCTGGGGGAAGGTCCTTGTCATCAATCTTCCCCTGGTCTAGGAGCTTCTCAGTGCAGGGGCCCCAGGTCTAAAGGACATGCTCCGCTCCTGGCTCTTCTTTCTTGGTGGTACGAGGTCTCTCTCCTCTATCCTCACATCTTTTATATCTCAAAAGAGATTGCCTTAAAACAACCTAGTTTCATAGATTGAGTAACTCCCTTTAATCTCGCCTCATTAACATCATAGAGGTTAGAATTTACAACACATAGGAAAATCACATCAGATCACAAAGTGGAGGACAACCACACAATACTGGGAATCATGGCCTAGCCAAGTTGACACACACTTTTGGGGGACACAATTCAATCCATAACACTGACCAACGGGGCCTCTTCCTCACAGCCAGGGTGCCCCTGTGACCCACTTGGGCCTCTCCAAGTTTTTCCTATGGCTGCAAAATTCCCCTGAGACTCCCACCATTCACAGGCAGTCAGGATCCTAATGAGTCCTCACATACCCCTTGAGGAAGGAGACTGGGACAGAGACAGAGAGAGAGAGAGAGAGAGAGAGACCAACTCCGCTGGGGATGGGCACAGAGAGAACTTGTCTGAGAGAAAGGCTGGGAAACCTCATGGAGAAATTGTGTGTGTTCGTGTAACTCTGCACACGTCTACTGCAGGTATGTGCAGGTGCACATACACCACGTGACTGACTCCCCCTCCCCACTGGGTAGTAGGCCCCTCAGGGAGTTCTAAGTTCCCGGGCAGACCACTCAGCTCAGCGTACACAAATGATGTCTGTGGGGGAGCATAACATGTGAGCTCTCCCTCGGAGCTCATGGTCAGAGCTTAACAACAACAGGGAGTAACGCCGTTTGCATGCTTACTCCGTGCTAGGCACTGCGCTAACTGCCTTACATGCATTATCTCATACCATTCTGACAACAGTCCTTGACTGACTATATCCCTGTTTTACAGATGATAAAACAGAGGTTGGAAAGGTTAAGCAACTAAACCCAGGTCACACAGCTGGATGGCAGTGGAGACACCCCCATTGCCCCAGACAGGGACTGAAAGTGAGTGAAGGCTGAGAGAATGCTTGCTGAATAAATGAATGGGTGAATGAACAAATGCCCTCAGACAGTCAACTAGCCAGCCACCATCTGTTGAGTAATCTTCAGAAGAAATTAATCAGTATGCTCATACTCTGTTCGCAGGGAAAACTGTTCATTTTAAGAACTTTCCTATGTGTCAGATGGTTAACTATGACTGCCCCTGGGTAATGCAGCAGGCCAGGACAGAGGACTTGATCTTGTTCCACCCAGTTCTGTCCTGTTTGGTTTGTCCAGCAACCACTGACTGCCTTTATAGCAAGATGTTAATTAAAATTGATACCAATAACTAAAGGTCTTCTTCTGCCAGGCTCTGGAGTCAGGACTGAGTGAGTTTGTGGGACCTTCGGCCTGTTAGCCAACCTGTGTCTTGGTTATATATTATCCCCATCATGTACAAAATGGGGTAATACATAATACATAGTATCACCTGATGGGATTAAGGGAATTAACACATGGAACATGCTTAGCATGGGAGAGCTGGTGACGCAGTGGTTAAAGCGCTCAGATGCTAGCTGAAAGGTGGGTGGCTTGAACCCAACAGACACTCCATGGGAGAAAGATGTGGCAGTCTGCGTCCGTAAGGATTACATCCTAAGAAACCCTATGGGGAAGTTCTACTCTGTCCTACAAGTTTGCTGTATGAGTCAGAATTAACTTTACAGCAATAGACAATGTACTTAGCGCAGCGTCCGTCACGCGGCTCGGCGCAGTGGTTGTTACACAGCTTAGCACAGTGGCCATTATACAGCTTAGCGCATTGGCTGTTATACAGGAAGTCCTTGGTAAAGGTTTGCTTGGATGAGGGCACGCTGGCCCTTGTGCTCATGACACTCACAGCTGGTGATGTAGACATCTCAAACATGAGAACGTATAGTACTCTGAGATCATGAGCACCCAGCCATGGGAGTCTTCAAAGGCTGGTACCCCTGGTCTGTGGCCACCATACACTACCTCCCTGCAGACTGCATATTCTCATTCTCATTAAATCCTCAGATCGACCTCATAAGGGCTTACTTATCATTCCCATGTGTGTACACCAGCAGAGACTGAGGCTTACAGGTGCCAAGACTTGTCCAACTCATGTTGTGGTGTCATGCTATGGACGGTACAGAAATGAAGAGCGTTCCAACTTGCGATGCAGGTCATCAACATCTCCATCCCTAGCACCCAGAGTAGATGGCTGTGTCTGGGGCTGCCACAGAGATCTTCAGGGCCCATGCTCTCAAAATCCTGTCCTCATTCCTTGCAGCAGGTGCAATCACACCTCTCTCCCCTGCTCCCACACCTTCAGTGGCTCCCCTTAGCCTCTAGGAGAAAGCCCCAAATCCCCAGCACTGTATCTAAGACCCTTTAAGAGTGGGCTCCCGCCTATTTCCCAGCCTCTTCTTATGTCATGTCAACGTTCCTCAAACATGCCAGGCTTTTTAATGCCCCCTATAGCCCTAGAAATGGCTGTTTTTTCTGCTTCCCCTTCCTCCCATTCCTACCCCTTCCTTGGTCCCAGCATAGATCAAACTGTTACTGCTCTCCACTGATGGGGTATGTCTCTCCCCATTCAGAGGCCAGAGCTCTGTGGACAGAGGCCAGGGGGGTCACTTTCTGTTTTACCAACATGGGCACCCAGGAAATGTCAGATTGTCAGGTGGGAGGTTAAGAAGGAAAAATGTACTGTGTTATCTAAAAGCAAACAGCCCCTGAGGAAACGTGCCCCTTTCTTCTCCAATAAGGATCATTCATTTGTATTTCAGTTTGAATATGAAGCTTCAGGTTGGAATCAGGCAACTTGAGATGTCAGCTCAGAGAGGGTCAGTCTGGCAAAGCCCCTTCTCCCAGACAGGAAGCAGAGGCAGAAAATCTCCCACCAAGTCACCTCCACTCTGGAACTGAGCTCGGGGTTATCATGGGGTGAGGGACACAAATTACCAACGGCGTACACTCACGGGAAGGTCACAGTCCTTGGGAGGGTGGGGATGGCAGGAGCATGTCAGCGAAGAGCAAGAGGTCCACGGCCCCACCCCAATGCCAGAAGCAAGGCTGATGAATTAAAAAAAAAAAAAAAAAACCCTGGTGTCATCAAGTCCATCCCAACTCATGGTGACCCTACAGGACAGAGTAGAACTGCCTCACAGGGTTAAAGAAAGAGGCCCAAATCCTTGAGCACATCCCATCAAACACCCAAACTCCTGCCTACCCTTCCACTCCAGGCCCAACAAGTTGCCTACTGTTCTGCTTCTGATGCCAGGTGGGCCTTTCTCTTGCCATTCTCTGTCTGCAAAGGCCTTCCCTTCTTCTCTGTCAACAGTTTTATGGTGTCTTGGTACCCACCTCACACGCCACCTCCTTCAGAAGTTGTCTGCCTACTCCCTCCCCAGGAGGAAGCAAACTCTGGGTGTCAGGGCCCACCCAGCCCTTTATCCCTCCTACAAGGGCCCCAGATCTTCCCCTGGCCTCCAAGAGTCCTTGGAGAAGATGAATGGGACACCTCCTTCCTGAATGATCTCTGCACAGTTAAGGCTCAGGAGGCTTTGACTGAGTAGAACTGCATCAGCAGCCCAGCACAGGGGATGAACAAGGACTAGAGTGGGTTCTGAGCAATCTGGAAGGTTTCCTAGGTTTTAAGGATGATGACATTTGGCCAGGTGGGCAGGAGAGTTTATGAGCATGTGTAAAGGTAGGCATACCCATAGCACTTGAGGGCCAGTGAAGGCTAGAACCTCCTACGGAGGTGATGCTGGGAATGATGGAAAGGCCAAGGAGGGCTAGGCTGAAGTAGGCTGGGCTGGATCCAGAAGCTAGGAGATTTCACAGGCCACCCAGCTTTCCTTGTGGAGCTGGATGCAGAGAGTGTCAGGAGGAGGCTGGCAGGATATACCCTCAGGCTGCCAGGGCTCAAGGGGCAGCTGGATGGTTTACACACACAAAGGGAATGCTTAATCTCGGGACTCCAGGCCCCCTCCCTACACTGGCTCAGCATTTACCACCACAAAGAAGGTGGGAGTTACACACATCTCCTGGATAATCCCTGCCCCTTGGGTCTCTGGATTATCTATGCTACCTCCCCCTCCTGCAGGGAACTGGACAGCAGGAGCCTACGCAGGAGTCCAGCTCCCCGTGCCGCTTAGGCCCCTCTGTGCCTCAGTCCCACCTTTTGGGAAGCAACAGAATGGAACGAGGTGCTTTCAGAGGGCCCCTTTTCCTCTAAGGTGTTTGGGAGTCAGAGCATCTGCCTGAGTCTCTCCCAAGAAAATGAATTTAGCAAGCGCATATACTCAGTTATCCGAAGGACAAGACCTGAAGTCACGTGTGTCCACCACGCAGACAGGCAGGCGGAGACCTGCAGAGCTGAGAAGCTAAAAGGCTGGAAACCCGGGGCCAGCAAGCAGGAAGGCAGACAGACAGCGGACAAGGGAAAAGGACAGCATAAATAGAGAGCCAGGAAAACACAGGAAGATAGGCAATCAGGCAGACACGGGGCCAGACAGAGAGACACAGGCAAATGGACAGACAGGTGGGAAGACTGGCTAGAAAGGCATAAAGACAGAAAAACAGAAGGGGACAGGAAGAAAGGCAGGCGAGCAGGCAGATGGGCAAAGGGACAAGCAGAGAGAAGGAAAGGCAAAGGGTAGCAAAGACTATGAGACCCACTAGAGACAGAACAAACGGTTAGAGAGGTCAGTGGGCTGATAAGCAAAGGGAAAATAAAAAAGCAGGGTTACTGGGAAAAGGAAAACATGGACACCTGTGGTCAGCCATACACAGGGCAGGTACATGGACAGAACAGTAGTGTCCAAAGGTAGAGAGCTCAGACAGACAGAGAGACAGGCAGAAGGACAGCCCTACCTCGTTCAGTAGGGACAGGGGCTTGTTGTCAGGATAGTGCCAGCCAGCGTCACAAGGCTGTGTCTCATTGAAGCAGTGGCTCAGGATGTCCTCAAGGCTGGTGCTGTCGGGGGGCGGCCAGAACATGAGGCAGGACTCGGGGTTGCCATCAGCATCCAGAGGCACGCTGAGGCTCAGCTGTTCAGTGGCACTTAGGTTGAGAGTGTGGTTCTTGACCCAGTCCACTGACCAATGGTGGGCCTCGTCTAGGACCACCAAAACCTGGGCAAACATGAAGAAGGCAGCTATCAAGTTGGGGACACTCAGCAGTATCAGCGGCTATATCTGGAAGCGACCAAAGCTGCCTATCTCAGCTAGGACCTGGGCAAATTGAGCCATGTCTACCGGCCACCACCTCCTCAACCTGGAGCCAGCAGGTAGCTCTGTAGCTTAGCTCTGGGGCACTTGTTCCTCCGGGCAGTGAAGACGGCTGCATTAATATTTAATCCAGCCCAGCCCCACCTGTCACCCCTCAGCTCTGGTAGAATACGATGTAAAAATAACCTGCTCTGGATTGTAGAACTGAAAGAGTATTTATTGACTGTGTGATAGTTATGAGAGGGCCGAGAGGACCTTCTGAAGTCCAGCACACAAAAGTGAGCTTTTTTATAGAACGTACAGCAACCCACCCTTCAACTGCAACTTCCTCCATAATTCAGCCAGACTCTTCCCAAAATCCAAATTCTGAAAGTAGATGCAACACTCAGAGGCACACAGAAGTCCCTTCTGAGGACTAGCCCACACCAGGCAGTGGGGAATAAATCAAGAGAGCAGCAAGGACCTAGCCTGCACACCAACTCTGCCAGCAGCCCAATCTGGCCTTTTTTTCTTTTTAATTTTACTGTGCTTTAGGTGAAAGCTTACAGTGCAAATTTAGTTTCTCATTCAAAAATGTATATACAAATTGTTTTGTGACATCGATTGCAATCCATGTGTCAGCAATCTCCCTGTTTCCACCCCGGGTTCCCTGTGTCCATTCGTCCAGTTTTCCTGTCCCTTCCTGCCTTCTCATCTTGGCTTTGGGCAGGTGTTGCCTATTTGGTCTCATATACTCGATTGATCTAAGGAGCACGTTCGTCACGTGTGTTACTGTTTGTTTTATAGGCTTGTCTAATCTTTGGCTGAAAGGTGGACTTCGGGAGTAGCTTCAGTTCTGAGTTCGCAGGGTGTCCGGGGGCCATAGTCTCAGCGGTTACTCCAGTTTCCCTCTGTCAGACAAGGAAGTCTGGTCTTTTTTTGTGAATCTGAATTTTGTTCTACATTCTTCTCCTACTCTGTCCAGGACCCTCTTGTGATCCGTCAGAACCGTCAGTGGTGGCAGCCGAGTATCATCTACTTTTTCTGGGCTCAGGCTGGTGGAAACTGTGGTTCATGTAGTCCATTAATCCTTTGGACTAGTATTTTTCTTGTGTCTTTGTTTTTTTTTTATCTTCCTTTGTTCCAAACATGATGCGACCAATAGGTGTATCTTAGATGGCCACTTGCAAGCTTTTAAGACCCCAGATACTACTCTCCAAAGCAGTACGTAGACTATTTTTATAAACTATGTCAATGGACCTAGATGTCCCCAAAGACTATGGTCCCCAGCCCTTAGCCCCAGTAACTTGGTCCCTCAACCAATCTGACCTCTTGACCTTGATCTTACCTTGCCCTCATGAGCCCCTGGTGTGTGGTGGTACGCAACAATCCCAGGAGGCCGCAAGCAGGCCAAGAAGAACCATCGAAAGCATAACTGCTCTTCCTTTTCAGCACCAAATACAATCTAAGAATGCAGAGCAATTATAGTTGAGACAAGAGTTGCATTTTGAATAGAAAATAATAAATGTTGGAGAGGTTGTGGGGAGACTGGAACTGTTACGGACTGCTGGTGGGAATGTAAAATGGTACAACCACTATGGAAAATGATATGACGCTTCCTTAAAAAGCTATAAATAGGAATACCATATGACCCAGCAATCCCACTCCTAGGAATACATCCTAGAGAAATAAGAGCCATCATATGAATAGACATATGCATACCCGTGTTCATTGCAGCATTATTCATGATAGCAAAAAAGATGGAAACAACCTAAGTGCTCATCAACAGCTGAATGGATAAGCAAGCTATGGTACATACACACAATGGAATACTGCACACTGATAAAGAACAATGATGAAGCTGCGAAACATCTCACAATATGGATGAACCTGGAGGGCAATATGCTGAATGAAATAAGTCAATCACAAAAGGAAAAATATTGTATGAGACCTCTATTGTAAAAACTCAAAAACAAAGGTTTACATACAGAAAAAAAAAAAAAATCTTTGATGGTTACAAGAGAGAGGAAGGATAGGGAGGGAAAATCACTAATTAGATGGTAGACAAGATTTTAACTTTGGTGAAGGGATAGACAACACACGATATAGGGGAAGTCAGTACAACTTGACCAAGGCAAAGTCAAAGAGGCTTCCTAGATACATCCGAACACCTTAAGGGAGCAATTAGGGTCACACAGCAATGTATGTATAAATTTTTGTTTAGGAGACTAACTTGAAATGTAAACTTTCACTTAAACTAAGACAATAAACAAACAAAAAAAAAGTACAGCCAGAATGCCCCTTAGAAGCAAGGATGGCGAGGCTTCCTCTCACATACCTGGGACATGTTATCAGGAAGGACTAGTACCTGGAGAAGGACATCATGCTTGGTGAAGCAGGGGGTCAGTGAAAAAGAGGAAGACGCTCAACGAGACAGACTGACACAGTGGCTGCAACAATGGGCTCAAACATACCAACAGTCGCATGACCGTGCAGTGTTTCATTCTGTTGTACACAGGGTCGCTATGAGTCGGAACCGACTTGACAGCACCCAACAACAGCGATCATCTTCACGGGAGAAGATCACCAGTGCTTTTCTCCAGCAGAGCTACTGGTGGGTTTGAACTGCCAACATTTTGGCTAGCAGCCGAGTGCTTAACCATCGTGCCACCAGGGCTCTTGCCATTTTATACCGACAACACCCAAATCCTAATTTTTTGGTGTTATGGATTGAACTATGTTCCCCAAAATTATGTGTAAGTCCTAACCCCTGTATTTGTAACTATGACCTTGTTTGGGAATATAGGTTTTCTTTTGTTATGTGGTGAGGTCATACCAAAATAGGGTGGGTCCTAAACCTAATCCCTTCTTACTGGGATCTTATAAAAAGAGCAGGACAGGCAGACACACACAGGGGCAGACAGACACCATGTGAAGACAGAGGCAGATGAACCCACAGTCCAGGAACGCCAAGGACTACCGACAGCTACTAGGAACTGCAAGAGAGAAAGAACCTTCCCAAAGAGCTGACGTCCTGACTTCTAGCCTCCAGAGCTGTGAGAAAGTTTCTGTTCTTTGAAGCCACCTGCTTTATGGTATTTTTTTTTTATATATATATTTTATTGTACTTCAGGTGAAGGCTTATGAACAAATAGTTTCTCATGCAACAGTAGTACACGTTGTTTTATGACACTGGTTAACAACCCCTGCTTTGTGGTATTTTTGTTACAGCATCCCTAGGTAACTAAGACATTTGGTTTACTTTCTCTTAACTCTGCTCCCAACCAGTTTGCCGAAGGTTCCCCATGCTTAAGGCTCTCTCCTGTTTGAGGACACCCCCACATCACTGCAGCCCCAGGGCCCCTCTCTACCCTGTAATCTCTCAGACTGGGGAGGCTGAGCCCAATCCAGCACCCTGCTGGCCCCACCGTCCTCTGGACCTGCAAAGTAGGCTCAGGGTTGCCGCTAGCCCTTCTGAAAAGCAACAGCTGTCACCCCGCCTCTTCTCCTTGTACCTGTCCTCATTCAAGGGCAGAAGGCCAAACAGGGGTGTAACAAGAACTTTCTCACCATCAGAGTTGTTTTACTTCAGCATCAAGACTATCGCTGGGAATCGCCTGTCTAGGGCATAGGTGGGTGTGCGTGGTGAGGGGAGGGAGCAGCTTTTCGACGGGTTGTTGTTAGCTGTCACCCAGACGGCTCCAACTCGTGACAGAAGGAAGTGTTGCCCGGTCTTGCGCCATCTTTGTGGTTGTTGGCATGTCTGAGTGGAGTTGGACAATGCGATGTTCTGCCTCATAACGTTTTCACTGGCTCATTTTTGCAAGTAGATCACCAGGTCTTTTTTCCTAGTCAGTCTTTATCTGAAGCTGCGCTGACATCTGTCCATCACAGGTGACCTGCTGGTGTTTGAAGTACTGGTGGCAACAACCAGCATCATAACAACGTGCAAGCCACCACAGTATGGCAAAACTGACACCCCTTGTAGGGACAGACTATACATGGTATCTCAAACCTCTTCCGAACTTGAGAATTAATGATTCTAGGAAGGAGCCCTGGTGGCACAGTGGTTAAGAGCTACAGCTGCTAACCAAAAGGTCAGCAGCTCAAACCCACCAGCTGCTCCTTGCGAACCCCATGGGGCAGTTCTACTCTGTCCTAAATGGTCGCTGAGTTAGAATTGACTCAATGGCACACAGCAACAACAGGAAGTAAAAATTCGGGGTAGGTGACCTGGCCCAAAGGAGGAATCCCTCAACTGCTGCCCTGAGCATTGCTACTGCGCAAGAGGCGGAGCTAAGGGACCAGGCCTAGTGCCAACATCAGACCCTGGTCAAGAAGGAAGGCCAAGGAGAGGCTCAGTTTACTCCCTCCCCACCCCCCTTCCTCCTCACATACACCACAGTCACTTTTGAGTAACCAGCACCTCCTCCCTGCCCTCACAGTCAGAGTCCACTTTTATAACTCCCTTATCTTGAAAGCAAACTCAACCAGCTGCAGGCCACATGGTGCGGTCAACTCCGAGGTGCCACAGTCCTGAGGCTCTAGAATACCAGACCCACAAGAGGTCCTGGCATGTCTCAAAGGACACTTTCTGTGGGGAGGGGATTAGGATCAGGGAGAGCACCCATCCAGGAGGTGGGTGACAGGATATAGAGGGGTCTAGGAAAGAGCGTGGCTGCTAACCAACAGGTCGGCAGTTCGAATCCACCAGCCCCTCCTTGGAAACCCTATGGGGCAGTTCCACTCTGTCCTGTAGGGTTGCTCTGAGTTGGAATCGCTGGATGGCAACGGGTTTGGTTTGGTTGGTTTAGAATCTCACATGAAACCCCACCATTTCAGTGCTGAAGCCAGACAGGGACAAGTTCATGTTCCAAAAAGGATCCCCAAGGGCTTGAATCTGGCATCTTCTCCTGGCCCACCAGTATGAGCAGGACCAAACAGAAAATATTCAAACATAATGCAAGTAGTTCCCTATCCCAACCTACCAGATTTCCTTGGGATTCCCTTATCCCTGCCTTTTGGGGTTTTGGTTTCCCTATCCGTCACACGGCTGTAAGCTGTTCTAGGGAATCTGTAGATGGGTACATGTATCTTACAGGCTACTGCAGTTGGGCTTCTTCCCACTCGCCTGAGAAACTAAAGTCGTGACACTGACCTACTCCCCACAGCCCCCACCAGCAGCCACTAAAGGAAAGCGACCGTACACCACTGGGGACAATTTGCTCTTTATTGATTAAAAAGGCAGGAAACATGCAGTAAAATACAAAGTCCGAAAAAGAAAAAAAAAAGTGACTATTTTACATCTTTCACAATCTAGCATACATCATGAGGAGGAGCTCTGTTTATTGATACACCATTATTTTATCCTCCAGATGATTAAATAGTATCAGCCGGCTCTAGGGTTTGGTTCAGAACTTAAGCAAAAAATCCAAACAAATCCATTAGTCATTTAGAAAGAGCACATATTTCACAAATAGCATTGGCACATGTTACCTGTACTACAGTTAGTCCCCACCCCAGGGCCAGAGGTGCACGCTGGACCAGACGCCCCACGACACCCCCTGCTATTCCACCTGGGCAGTTCCAGCTCACTTATTTTCTCAGCACCACTGCACAAGCCAGCAAAGGGACAGTCTACCACACATCACGCAGGGGAAGTAACACTGTCCTGGGCTTGGTGCTGCTCCCAACTCCCAGCGGCGCAAACAGTGAACTGAAGCGGGAAAGCGAGGCCCGGCCTACTTCTCCTGTGCTGCCTATCGCCATCAGTTCAGGTAAAGGCCGAGGCTGCTGGAGGCAGACCACCTCCAAACACAGAGCTAAACTAGGATGATGTCACCAACCCCTGGATTCAGAGCTAAGTCGATCGCAATAGGTTTGTTTGAAACCAAAGAAGCATACTCTAAGGTTAAGCCAAAAAGGACACCATCTCTGTTCCACACCTCACTCCCACCTCACCTCCCTGTCCCCTCACCAATGCCCCCCCCCACCCCAAGATAATGAAAATAAAAGCTAAATATCTTTCCGGCCAACTCATCCATCTTCTCTTCTCTCTCTGGGGTCAGCAAGTTCCTTCCTTCTATCAGTCATGCCAGGACAGTGGACTTTTGTGCCTGGCTTTCTAACCTACTTTCCTCCCCACCCCTAATCCCAAATCCACTCCCTCTCTTCCTCCCCAACATCCATCCCCTTCTCAAAACGCCTCCCTCATCCCAAATCCACTGTCTTTCTTCTTCCCCAACAGCCATCCCCTTCTCAAAACGCCTCTCTCACCCCAAGTCCACCCATCTCTTCCTCCCGAACATCCATCCCCTTCTCAAACGCCTCCCTCATCCCAAATCCACTCCCTTTCTTCCTCCCCAACACCCATGCCCTTCTCATAACGCCTCCTTCATCCTAAATCCACCCCTCTTCCTCCCCAACGCCCATGCCCTTCTCGTAATGTCTCCTTCATCCTAAATCCACCCTCTTCCTCCCCAACACCCATCCTTCTCCAAGTGCCTGTGCACCTGGAGCAGATGAAGAAAGCCCAGGACTGAAACCACAGGCATTCAAGTCAACTGTGGGGTGAGCTTCCAGAGACGCTCCAAGATAAAACTAGCTACAGCAATCTTGTTCATCACGTCAACAATGCCGGAACAGGCTCAAGTGACCCTGTAACAGGCAACACCCCCCTGCCGTGGGGCCAAAACCCACCTCCGTGTGTCTTCTCAAGGCCAGACTGAGTATCCATCCTGTTCGTATATAAAAATTGGTAGGGCTATTAGCAGATAGACAAGGGCTGGCTATAACACAGTAGGAAAAAAAAAAAGAAAAAATCAACCCCACTGATTATTCACATCTTGCATTATGAGCGCTCTCACTTAAACCTGAAGAATAACTTATATTATTTCTGTGGAAAATCAAGCAAACACTGTCTACTCGTAAACCCTACAGGTCTCGGCACACATGGTTTCACTTTCCATCTCGAGTTGGCCCCGCGCACGAGGTGTGGACCCCCCCAAAGGGTCAGCGCAGGAGACGGCGGCAGGCAGGCGCCTCCTGTATTGCTGTGGGGCCTCAGCTCCGTACACCCACTTCCCCTGGATGTGGGGGCCAGGCGGACCAATTTTCATGGGAGGATCGAGGAGCAGCTTTTCGTCAAATTTAATTTTGAGACAGCTGAAAATAAATACTTCCCCAACGATGAGTTATGATTTTCCTGTTCAAAAACCACCTCACTTTTGCAAGCCACTGCTTGACGAATTCTCTAAAAACAGCCCAAAGTTCCCCTCGGAGGGGTCCGACAGCTGCAGTGTGATGGGTCAGGTGTTCCGCACCAGCCGACGTGAAGGCCAGCAACCCTTTCTGGGGCAGCACTGAAGGACAGGGTGCCTGAGAACAGCTTCAGCCAAACGCTGAGTATCCAGAACAGAACGAGAACGACTCAGTCTGCCTCCACCTGAGGCTGTGCTTTGTCCTAACAAAGGTTGCTAGAATTCACATCAGGTACAAAGAAAATCACACTGAATTAAATTCTCTGGGTTCCAGCTGATCAACCAACTTTTAATTGCTACTTCCGTGGTAAGGAGATACTCCAAGATGCCCACACCTCGGCTGGTGTAGGAAAACAGGCAGGACAAGGAACGTGAACAGCGGCTCCCTCCACCCAGGGCTGTGTTGGAGTAAGGCAAGAACGAGCTCACACATCTCCCTTCTGGGTCTGGAGGCTCACAGCACATCTCAGATGGAGGAAGAGAGGGGACACGTGCGGTCGGTTTACTAACACAACTCTTTAGGGGGACGCTGGCCACTGGTGATCCAGCTTTCCTTTCCCTGTGGAAAAGGGGGATGGCAGGAAGAACGTAACGAGGCCTCTAAAGCCCCTAGCCAGGGAGGTCTGTTGCGGGGTCTTTGGCAGTAGTAGGTTTGGACCAACAGGAGCAACAGAGATACACGTGTGGAATCTCCTTGGGCCGCCTCTTCTGGGCTGTGGTTTAGCTGATGCTGAGCTGGGCAAATCCTATTAATTTACCATCATCAGGAATATCCGAGCCTTCCACACCAGATGCCTGAGAACCAAACAAAATGAGAAGCTGTGGCTATTTACGAACGAAATCCAGGTGGCAGTCAGAACTCACATGGGGACTGTGGGAAGGAAGGTGGGGGGATGGTTCCTGGGATGCAGCAGGAAGCTGATGAAGGCGTCTCTTCCAGAAAAGATGAGGGGTTGGGGACACAGCTGGAGTCAAACTGGCTAACAACCACTCCTGAGCACAGTCAAGTGCCTGGGAGAGGAGGCTGGGGTAGGGGAGGGAGGGAGAATCAGCCCAGGGCTTCAGCGAGGCTAAGGACAACCCATCATACTGTAACGTTCTCATCAGAGGGAACAGGGAAGCTGGTCTCCCGGGGCTGCTGGTGCCTAAACGGTAAGGGGGTTTAACAAGGAGGAAGGGATGAATACCAGTTTGAAAGTGACAGATCGATTTGACTGAGGGTCTTCCACAATTTTCTGCAAATTAGCCGCCACTGTAATCATACAAACAGAGAACGTAATGAGGGACTAAGCACATCCACCTTCCATCATACTTAAAAGGCTTAGATGGTAGTTCAGAATCTTCCATGCACAATCAAAACAGAAGTACAAAGATCAAATAGTAACTCCCTCAAGAAAAATTAATTTTAAACTCGTCTCCAAGCAGTACAAATAAAAATGGAATCACCATCTAATTACTGTCTGTAAAATGCTCTATCAATCTAGGAAAGACGCTCGGTGAAAAAGGTCTGATCTGCCTCCTCATGGACTAGAGAGCCTTGGACCGGGAGTCAGCCAACCACCGCGTGGGGCCTGTTTCTGTTCTGCCTGCAAGCTAAAACTGGTTTAAAAATGCCAGAGACCACAAACAGCCCACAAAGTCCGAACCATTTCCTCTCTGGCCCTTTACAGAAGAAGTTTACGGTCTGCTCTAGATGGTGGTGGCTCCTTCAGCAACACGGACCTGTGGCCTGACTCTGCCTTCCTTCCTGCTTTTTCTACAGCTAAACTGCTCACGATTTCTGCTCCCCGCTGGCTGCACAGGGTACAGTTCACCCTCCAGAAAGGCCTAGATGTGGCTGAGCTGCCTTTAACTTGTGACCTTTGTCATCATTTCAGTAGAGCCTCACAGAGGCCCGGGTCTACTTTCAGACTGCCACTGAACATCACAAAGCAAACTCAGAAGTGAGATATTTTTTTAGGGGGTGGGGAGGCTAAGGAAATGTCCCCAATAGCCTGTAATTTCAGCAAAGCCAGGAGCTGCCCCAAGAGCCGTTAGGCCTACTCAGTGGAATCAAAGTCTGGTTCCGTCGGCACTAAGTGCTTGCGTAGCGGTGAAGAACTCGGCTGCTCACCAACAGGTGGGCAGTTCAAATCCACCAGCCACTCCTTGGAAACCCTATGGGGCAGTTCTACTCTGTCCTGTAGGGTCACCTGACAGCACCTAACAACAAGTGCTTGCACAAACAGAGACGCAGGGGACAAGGGCAGGGCACAGGGCAGGGCACAGTGCAGTTACCTATTACTAAATCCCTTCCGTCGACCAGGCCAGCAGAAATGAGCTCCTGAGAGACGCCCTCCGCTGTGTCTGCAGGGACAGAGAAGAAGGTCCGTTTCTTGTGCACGCACATCACTGGTAACTCGAGGAGCCAGGGCAGGGGTCGGGACTGCCAGACCCAAACCAGCCGCTAACTGATCCACGGCATCAGGAAGGCGGGCAGGGCCTCTCCCACACGAGCTCTTCCCCCCACTCAGCATCATGTCCAGTGAAGCACCCGCACAGCTGTCATCTAGGGGCAGAATCTATGGCAACCAGGCAGCAAACATGAGCTCGCCATAAAGATAACTTGCCAAGTAACAGTGTAATTCTGACGGGTTCAGGGCCGGTCAGACAAGCACCTGACGATGATATCGCAGCAGAAATGCCGGTCCAAGAGCAGCCCCGGACCCCGGTCTCTCTCAGACCTTGGGCCTGTGACTCAGGATTCATGCAGAACATCCCCAGGGAACACACTGCCATCTCTTCTCTCTGGGGATCACGCTCCAAGTTTTCTGCTCAAATCCCTTCTTTCTCATCTTGGTGGGCTTCTCTGCATATCTAGTCATCCCAGGTGGTGCAGGCTGAGCAATGGACATACCCAGAAACTGAAGATAGGACAGAGCACCCCCATTAACCTCGCCCCCAAGCTCCATGGTGCTAGTTCCAGAGGGCTGAGCGCTGAGCTCCTCCAAGGGCACAGGGGATGATTCTGGCAGAGGGCTGTCACATGCGTGCGCAGATGACCAGCGATTTAAAGTAATCCCTTGCAATGTGACCTTGCCTGGCTTACTCCTCTGCCCACCTGCTCTCTTTAATGGCTAGCTGCTGATGGCACTGAGGGCAGGGAGAGTGTATAGGGACGGTGCCTGCTGGTTGCGGGACACTCCCCACATCAGACCCCTGAGTAACAAGGCAAGAGGGAAACAAGCCTCATTCCAGGAAGAGCTCATGCCACAAACAGTGCCTGATAGGATCGACTTCAGTCTGATTACTTACTATCACGGAGGACAACTGTCATGGACTGAATCACATCCCATCAAAATGTAATGTATCGATTTGGCTGAGTCATGATTCCCAGTATTATGTGACTGTGTACCATTAAGCAAGCTGATGTGATTTCCTTATGTGTTGTAAATTCTATCACTATTATGTAATAAGATGGATTAGCGGCAGTTATACTGAAGAGGTCTACAAGATTAGATAGTGTCTTAAGCCAGTCTCTTCTGAGATATAAAGAAGAGAAGCGAGCAGAGACGCATGGGAACCTCCTACCACCAAGCGAGCAGCACCGGGAGCAGAGCGCGTCCTTTGGACCTGCGCTTCCTGCGCAGAGAAGCTCCCAGACCAGGGGAAGATTGATGACACGGACCTTCCTCCAGAGCTGATGGAAAAAGCCTTCCCCTGGAGCTGACGCCCTGAATTTGGACTTGTAGCCTATTGGACTGTGAGAGAATAAACCTCTCTTTGTGAAAACCATCCACTCGTGGTATTTCTGTTATAGCAGCACTAGATGACTAAGACAACCAAGTACGATGATAAAACAAAGAGCTTTGGCCTCCCACAGATCTGGGTATGAATTCCAGTTATACCTCTTCCCAGCTCTGTGACCTTGAGAAAGTGACTTTGCTTGTCTCTAAGCCTTGATCTCATTATCTATAAAATGGGATAATAATCTTTCCTTAGGGGGCTATTGTGAGAATGTCATGAGACAGTGCTTGTAATACCTGGCCCACAGCAAGCGATAAATGAGAGCTGCATTCACTACTCTCTGCTATTAGGCTACATGTTCTAAATGAGTTCAGCAGTAAATTAACTACATTTTTATTTTATTCATTTGCCCACCGAAACTTTTCGAGCAGGAAAATTTTTATTGTCTTTTAACAGGAAACCATATCTAAAGGACAACTCTTCACAACCCTTTTCATTACATAACCAGAGGAAAAAGAAGTTATTCTCTTTTCAGTGTTTTTGATGCCTTACCTCTCCCAGGAGTAAACTCGAATCGGATATCATTTAGTTCTTTTTTTGAATTCCTATGAAAGAAAACAGAAGGTATGAAATAAAAATCTCTGAATTTATAGACTCTGCCAACATATACTAGTTACATCTGCCTCAAGAAAGCCTGCTCTGTTCCCATAAATCCTGTCAATGGTCCCGAGGAACTCACACTGCAGTGCTTCAAAGCAAACAACTGAAAACGATCATCCTGCGGCCCTTTTAACCCTGGTCCCCCACTCCCACTGATAAATACACAAACCTCACGTCCTTGAGGAGATTCTCACACGCCCACTCCCATCCCTATTAAGATGATCATATAAAAGGAAAACCTGTATGAGCACAGGGAGGCAGGACTTGAAGGACAGGGAGGACTTAGGTGGGCAGAGAGCATGGGGAAAAGAAGTGGGTCCATCCTGGCAGCAGAGTTAACACATGACTCCAGAAATTTAAACCTGTGGCTGTGAGTTACAGTTTGCAGTGTTTACGGACCACCCCGTGTACGCAATTAATCAGGCTCCCTGGAGGATTTGGCTGAAGGCAGTGAATTCAGAATGCTGTCTCTAAAGGCAGACATACCTGACCACTTAGGACCCCAAAACATTTTATCTAAACAGCACAGAGGGCTCAGGTCTATCTGATACTATACCTGAGGATGTCACTGAAATTGTGCTTAAAATATGACTACTCCTTTCAAACATTCCTGCCACAGAGTGGCTGTTCCGTCACACTGCCTTCTCTCTGCACTTGTGTGCACAGACTCACACTCTGCTTGTTAAGCACATACAAAGAGACTTCCTACCTAGACTCCATTATCAAGGGAGGCATTTAATTGTCTCTTTTCTTGGAATCCTTCCACAGTATTGGTATGCTTCTAAAATATCTAAGAGTGCTATGCAGAGTCTGTTCTTAATACATAGTTACTCAATTAAAAACAGTATCTATTTTTTCTGAAAGCTGAATACAATTAAGACTGAAATGTTCAGCACAAGTTTACTGATGTAACTGGCATGTCGATCACAAACAGATCACAAACACCTTCAAAGCCGTCACACAGTGACCTGGGCTAAATGTGCTTCTTAGCACCTCTTCTGGCCATTCAACCTCGCAGTCTTCATCTGTGAGAATAAAAACCCAGCCTCCTATCCCACAAACACAGTCTGGAACACAGGCCAGAAAACAACCATTCTCTCAGAAAGTTCACTACATCACCGCCTTCCTGAAGCACACGGCAACTGAATGTGTGTACGGTCCATTAACAGAGTTTCTTTAAAGAGACAAGTGGTGTTCTGTACGCACATTTAAAACAGGATGAGATCACCAAGGCATCCTAGGTGAGATCAGGTACACTGACGAGGCTTCTATAAAGGAAAGGTAACCAAATCTATTTTCCTTACATTTATGGCATAATTTCAATGCTCCTGGTGGTAAGACCAAAACAGTCTCAAAAGATCTCTTGCTGCCCCTATTGCTCCTTATAGCCCCACCAGGACGACTAGGAATCCATACGTGGAAGGAGGATGAATCTGATGGTAACTCAGTGTAACTCTTTTGACAAATGCTGGTGTCAGCTGAAGCCTGAGCTATCTCAGGCCACACTTCTAATACTACATGTATTTTTTAAATGCATTTATGAGTAGAAAGAGACCTAATCAGACAAGAACACTTGGAAACTTAATCCTAATTCAACTACTAGCAGAGGGAAAAGGTTAAAACTAACAGATTGCTACCTATGGCGCTTCCTGCTGAGCGATCTATCAGGACCTGTCTGTATGCCTCCATCAAGAACCAATAATTTCTTCAACAGCTTGCAAGCTGCCATCCAAAGCACAATAACTGCTCTCTATCCGCCTGGAGCAAGAGGAAGAAGGAGAGTCAGCAACAGGAGGAGGATATGGAATGTGTGGCTAACTGCCTCTGTAAACAACCACCTCCTTTGCCATGAAGGACAAGATGGTGCCCAGCTACCATCACGGAACATGTTGATCAAAGACCCTATACAAGAATGCAGATCAAAAGGGGAAACATGCAGAACAGAACTTCAAATTCTCATGGACCCCACACTTCCTGGAGCCATGGAGGCTGGATGAACCACTGAAGCTACTGTCCTGAGATAATCTTTAAACCTCAGAAGTCTTCTTAACACTAAACAGCAATTTAACTTAACTAGTAAAGAATGTCTGCCTCGAGCATCATGTTTTTTAAGGAACTATCTATATGGGATCAAACTGAGGACGGTAACTGGAAAGATCAGATAGGAACCTTAGGGGGCAGTGAGTTTAGGTTAATAGGGGAGGAACAATTCAGAGGAGGAGGGTGAAAACGGGCACACAACTTGAAGAGTGTAATCAATGTCACTGAACTGTACACGCAGAAATGGATGAATTGGTATATGTCTTGCTGCGTATATTCTCAACAACAACAACAAAGAACCACAATTCAGAACACTTGCTGTAAAACAGAGACAAAGACCAAACATACATTCAGAGGATTTTCCTTTCATCTCTTAACAATAAGGCTTCTATGTTATCTGCCACAATCAAAAAAACCCTTCACTCTTGGGTTAGTTGATCATAGAGTCCATGGTGCTTATATGGTAAAATTACAGGTCTAATCTTCAGATAAGGAGCCCTGGTGGCTCAGTGGTTAAGTGTTCAGCTGCTAACTGAAAGGTCAGCAGTTCAAACCCACCAGTGGCTCCATGGGAAAAAAGACTTGGAGAGCTGCCTTGTAAAGGCTGCAGCCTAGGAAACCCTCTGGGGCAGCTCTACTTTTTCTCACAGGGTTGCTGTCATGAAGTGAATTGTGTCCCTCAAAATATGTGTCAACTTCCCCGACAGAGGTGGAGGACGGAGCTGGAGAAAAATGTAGAACAAAATTCTAACTCACAAAAAAAGACCAGACTTACTAGTCTGACAGAGACTGGAGAAACCCCAAGAGTATGGTCCCCGGAAACCCCTTTAACTCAGTACTGAAGTCACTCCAGAGATTCACCCTTCAGCCAAAGATTAGACAGGCCCATAAAACAAAACGAGACTAAAGGGGCACATCGGCCCAGGGAAAAGGACAAGAAGGCAGGAGGGGACAGGAAAGTTGGTAACAAGGAACCCAAGGTCGGGAAGGGGATAATGTTCACATTGTGGGGTTGGCAACCAATGTCACAAAACAATATGTGTATTAACTGTTTAATGAGAAACCTATGTATCAACTTGGCTAGGCCATGATTCCCAGTAGTATGTGATTATCCTCCATTTTGTGATATTATGTAACTATCTTCCATTTTATGTGTTGAAATCCTAAAACCTCTGTGAGATGGGATGAGGGTGGGATGTATCTTGAGTCACAATGCCTAATTCAGGCCACATACTCGCTCAGGCCAAGCCCTTGCTTGAGTCACACCTTTTATTTCACAACAACAACAATCGTCAGGTAAGCCAGCTACTGCCGCCCCCCTAACACCCCTCGGCACAGACCGCACGCACAGCCACGGGCCACTATACTCGCTCAGGCCAAGCCCTTGCTTGAGTCACACCTTTTATTTCACAACTACAACAATTGTCAGATAAGCCAGCTACTGCTGCCCCCAACACCCCTCGGCACGGACCGCACGCACAGCCACGGGCCACTGGACTGCAGAGACACAAACTGGGCACCACCGGTGGAGAAACATCAACAGGATGTGAACACTGGCTGGTCACAGAACCTACCGACACCCAGGTGCTCACGCGACTCCTCTAACTTGGGAGGGAAATGATACACCTGGGAGCATGCAGCGCCTGATGCTAGGACAACACATAATCCCCTGCAGCTTCTCCCAGGCACAGACTATTCAAAAGGGAGCAACCTTCAACAAGAAAACAGCATATCTGCGGTACTCAGAAAGCCAAAAATGTCTACTTACCTTAATCTTAGCACTAGACTGATTGGGGTCTTGGTTTCTTGTGAACCTGCTCCTGAAGACAGAGCCTAGAGAACATTGAAAGGTAAGAAGTCACTGCCTGAAACGCTAAGCATGGAGGTGACTTAACGGGCAGCAGTGATTTCATCTCCAGGTGGGGTCATCCTGGCCCCCAGGACACTCTCTGCTGTGGGAGGGTACGCACCCCACGCAGCCTGAGTCAAACACAATGAAAAAGGTAATTGTCAAACTCAGATGCAAATCCATATACAGCCACATTTAAAGTTCGTATTTTTCAGACCTCTGCTCCCCTCTACGGAGGTGAAAGAAATGAAGCTGGGTTTTTTACTTTTAAAATATCTGCTAGTATGCCACAAGGTAGGGCCTAAGTCAGCTGTCGCCCCAGGAATCTGTTCAATTCTGGGGTTGCAGGTCTTTTTAGGGCTAGGCCAATCCTCTCTGAAACCCCTTGCTTACTGGAGGAAATACACTCCACGGAAGCTGTTTATCAAATAAAATCAACCTTTCCCTCCATTTTCATAAGAAGCTTTTCCCACGTAACGCACAGCAACTGCAAGCTTCGATGACGGAAAGGTTAAAATGCAGTCAGCTCCATGACTGAGTGGAAGTGCTCAGAGCAGGGGTCTCCAGAGACAGAGTATGAGATAATTCACTGGAGCACAAGAAGGAAACAACTGGAACTTTCTTTTCTACTTCTTTTCCTCTAAAACATTAGGAAAAATGACACTTCTAATATTTAATAAACGAACTGACTCTGGAACCCCAGCATAGGGTCACAGGTCAAATACAGCATTTGAGTCTCCTGAGGGAAGAGCAGGAGCTCCACAGCATCCAGGGGCTCACAGTGGGGCCTCACTGGCTCAGCTGCTCTCGGTGTGCGAGATCTGACAGCGTTCGTGGGTAACTGGACTTACAGATTACATTACTCAGTTTAATACAATTAGCCTTCCAAAAATTGACAGTATCTTAAAAGAGTAATACAGAAAAATCGTGGATTGAAGATAGTTTTATTAAGAAATACAAGCCTAAGTGAACAAGAAAATAAGCAGTATGGCTGACAATTCTGCTTGCCTTACTATGAACTCCGTCAGCTGAAGTTAAATATAACAATGATCTAATTAACAGCTGCTAAGAAACTAGGCAAAAAATTTAGGGCACTTGGAATATTTCAACTGTTAACTGATTTTGGTGCTTAGAATAATGTGTGATCCTTGTAAAACTCTCACATCTGCATACCTTTGTAGCTATGAAAACTGATTTCTAACTTGTTTCACAATCACCAAGACACCAACATTAGGTTGTATTCCACATTTAACATCAGCTTTTCTCATTTACCCAGAAGGCTGCCCGTTAAAGTGTACCCCCACTTTTCACCTGAGCTGGTTTCGCTGGCTCTGTGGGGGGAGGGAGAGAGACTTGAGTTGGCTGTGCAGGCGTCTGCCCAGCTGGCTGAGGTAGATGAGCAGAAATCTGTTCTGGAACTTGAAGCAAAGTACCCACGGGATCAGCTGTTGGAAAGAGCTATAACAAAAACGCACATCCAGTAAGTTTTTAGATTTTATGATGTTTAGAAAATTTACACGTTGTACAGTCATCACCACGGCCAGTTTTGGATCACTCCCGCCGTCTCAAAAGTCCCCTTGTGCTAATCTGCAGTTACTTCTGCTCCCACCTCCAGCCCTAGGCAACCACTGATCCACTTTCTGTCTCTGCAGATTTGCCTTTTCTGGGTATTTCATACAAACAGAATCAGACAATACATAGTCTCTTGGGTCTGACTTCTTTCACTTAGCACAGTATTGTGAGGTTCAGTCATGCTGTAGCATATATCTGTAGTTTTTGACCATATCTACTCCGTCTCCTTTGTCCAGCAAAAAAGCACCTCCAAAAAAACAGATATAAGTATGTAATACAAGATTATAGAAACATCATTTTTCTATGCCTAATGGCCTTTCATTATTCATAAAGACAATTAGTCACTGATTCCTTAATATATCTGAAACGCATTTCCAAAATGAACAGGAAGCTTTATGACGAACAGAGATATTATGTATATTATTTTGTATGTTTGAAATATCCCATAAATTTTAATTATCTGATTTGGGAAAAAAATACTGAGGTTGAGTACAAAAACAAGTTACATACATTCAAAATCATAAGTTGGTAATAAAAAACAAACAAACCCACAATCGCCAAAAATTGAAAGAGAAAAAAAATTAAAAGGACAGTAATAGAGGCCTAATAGTTGATGGAGTCCCTTGGTGGTGCGAACAGTTAATGCTCTCACTGCTAACTAAAAGGCTGGGGCTTCAAGGCCACCAAGAGGTGCCTCAGAAGAAAAGCCGAGCGATCCGCTTCTGAGAACTCAACCACTGAAGTCCGGTGGGACACAGCTCTACTTTCACACTCACGCGCTTGCCGTGAGTCAGAGTCAACTTGACAGCAACTGGTGTGGTTTTTCTGCTGTTGTTGTTAGTAGCTGATATTATAGAAACAAAATTCAGGAGATGGTGTAAAACTTTGTGTTCATTTAGCTTCATATGTTAGAAGTAGTCAAAAGTTCCTCACTGGTTCTCAATTTTGACAGAATAATAAAGCTTTGTTACAGGTTAAATTGTGTCCCCCAAAAAGGTATGCTGAATTAACCCCTGGTTAACCTGTTTGGAAATAGGGTCTTTAAAGATATCATCAGTTAAATTAACAGGAAACCATACTGGAGGGGGGTCAGGTCCTAATCCCATCTGAGTGGTGACCTTGTAACAGAGGACAAGAGTCTACAGAGAGACAGAGTGAAGACAGTCACGTGACAGAGGACTTGGGCTGCAGGTGTAAGCCATGGAATGCTCAGGGCTACCAGAAGCTGGGAGAGAAGGTCAGGAGCTTCCCCAGAGTCTTCTGAGAGAACGTGGCCCTGCTGACACCCTGAACTGGGACTATTAGCCTCCGGAACTGTGAGACAATAAATTTCTCTTCTTATAAGCTGCCCAATTTGTGGTATTTTGTTGGCAGCCCTGGGAAACTAATAAAAGCTTTGAGATTAGCTTTGAAAATGTTAATAGAACCATGAGCGCTATTTCAAAAGAAGATCAGGTGCACATCTATGTTTACCTATACTGAAGACAGAGAAGATACCTAAAACAAAGCAATGGGCATGAGAGTCTGAGTATGAGTACGCAGAGTTCACACAGAGATACATTTAGGCAAAAAAACGGGAAGACGAAAACAAAAATCTCTGGAAAATGTGTAAAATGTCTTCTCATTCAATCTCTGAAAAAATCTAGTATTAGTTAAGATGGGCTAAACTGGAGAGTAACAAATAATCTGAAAATCTTCGTAGATTAAAACAACGAGTTACCACCTGCACACACTTCATGTCTATCTCTGGCTAGCAGGGGCTAACCTCGGAATCACCCTCACTGAGGGAGGCAGGTCATGGAGGCGAGGACAAGGGAACATGGAAATTCACAGGGCTCCAGGGCTTCCTCCTGCAGGCAACACACCCTACATGGGCTCCCATTTCATTGGCCCAAAGTAACCGATGTGGCCACGCCTCACCGCAAGGGGCAGGGCAATGCCATCCCACCACACACCAACAGGAGGGGGAGCCCCGAGGATTAGTGGACAGCAGTTTTAATGTAAACTTTCAGGCACTGGCCTGTTACAACACTGAGGCGCAGTTCTTATTTTCAGTCTGAAACAATACAGTACTAGGTACACAAATTTCTTAGATAGCGAAAAAAGTTACTTTTACGCACAGGGGCAAAAACAATATTGGTTTAAAATCGAGATGTATGCCACTGAATGAAAGACCGAGCTCTTAAGTGAAGACGCTGTCAGATGGAGAACGTGTGACAGGGACCCGTGAAATGGGTGTGCTCCTCAGCTGGCGAGAACCAGGAGGCCAGCCTGTCAGGATCCTGTTTAGTAGGATTCCCTACAGCGGGGGGCAGTAACTACTGAGAACTAAATCTGCGCAGGAGAAGCAGCAGGGGTGGGGAGGGTTCTGGAAATTTCTAGACAGTGAATGCAAAATGACCACTTCCCACTTCAAGCCAAAGAAGCAATTGCTAAAGTCAGACAAGCGTTCTGGACCTGAAGGGCAGGTTTTCAAACGAGTGTGAAAGCACCAGTCCGCCACAAAGGGTCCACTCAAACTCAGAAACGGTATCGCTGAAAAAACTCCACTGGCGTAAATTCTCGTTCTCCTTTAGGCATACAAACATCATGTGCTTAAAATGAAAACAAAAGCATGTATCCATTAATGAGGATTCATTAATCACAATTACTCACCTCGGAATTTAATGGTTCTTTCACTCGAGGAGACTAAAAGAAATACAAAAAAGGAGGCTTGTTAACTCAGAACTCAGGTTACTTGTACTCAGTCCTAATCTGCAAGTAATGCTGAAATGCAACTCAACCACTGTTCATTATGACTGCCTACTAACTCGCCAGTAACGCTAGTGAAAATTTTCTGGAAAAAGAAACCTGTCACAGTACTACTGTATTCATTATCCAGGTAGCCTACAATGCAACAACAAGCAAACATAACGGGAATGTCCAAGTTCTTAGGCAGTAGGGAAGTCAAGTTCTTCAAAGTAAAATTCTTTCCACTAATCACAAATATATTATGTGCCTAAGACCCAGACCAAAAAGGAAATAATAAAAATTAGAGAAGAAATGAATGAAATAGAGAATACAAAAACAACAGAAAAAAAATCAACAAGACTATAAGTTGGTTCGCTGAAAAGATCAACAAAATCGACAAACCACTGGCCAAAGTAACAAAAGAAAAACAGAATAAAATGACCCAAATAAGAAATGAGAGGGGAGGCATCACAACAGACTCAACAGAAATAAAAAAGATCATAACAGAGTACTATGAAAACTTGTACTCCAAAAAATTTGAAAACCTTGAGGAAATGGACAAATTTCTAGAAACACACTACCAGCCTAAACTAACAGAAACTGAGATAGAAAATCTGAGCAGACTCGTAACAAGAGAAGAGACTCCCAACAAGTAATAAAAAAGAAAGACTCCCAACCAAAAAAAGCCCTGGCCCAGACAGCTTCCCTGGGGAATTCTACCAAACACTCAGAGACGAGCTCACACCAGTATTACTCAAACTATTTCAGAGCATAGAAAAGGAAGCAATACTTTCAAATTCATTCTATGAAGCCAGCATAAGCCTGATACCAAAACCAGGCAAAGACACTATAAAAAAAGAAAATTACAGACCAGTATCTTTCATGCATATAGATGCAGAAACTTTCAACAAAATTCCAGCCAACAGAATTCAGCATCGTATTAAAAAAAAAAACAAAAAAACACCATGACCAAGTGGGATTCATACCAGGTGTGCAAGGATGGTTTAACATCAGAAAATCAATCAACATAATCCACCACATAATAAGACAAAAGAATCACATGACCATCTCAATTGACTCAGAAAAGGCAGTCAATTAAGTCCAACACCATTCCTGATAAAAACTCACAATAAAATAGGAATAGAATGGAAATTCCTCAACATAATAAAGGGCATCTATACAAAACCAACAGCCAACATCATTCTTAATGGAGAGAGCCTGAAAGTATTCACCCTGAGAACAGGAACAAGACAAGGATGCCCTTTATCACCACTCCTATTTAACACTGTGCTAGAAGTTCTAGCTAGAGCAATAAGGCAAGAAAAAGAAATAACGGCATCCAAATTGGTAAGGAAGAAGTAAAACTGTCCCTATTCGCAGATATGATTCTATACATAGAGAACTCCAAAGATTCTGCAAGAAAACTCCTGGAACTGATAGAAAGATTCAACACAGTAGCAGGATACAAAATCAACATACAAAAATCAGCTGGATTCCTATACACCAAGGAGAACTTTGAAAAGAAAAAGAAAATCAGGAAAACAACACCATTTATAATAGCCCCTAAAAAGATAAAATACTTAGGAATAAATACAACCAGGGATGTAAAAGACCTATACAAAGAAAACTACAAAACCCTATTGCAAGAAACCAAAAGAGACCTACATAAATGGAAAAACATACCATGCTCATGGATAGGAAAACTCGACATTGTGAAAATGTCAATTCTACCCAAAGCCATCTACAGATGGAAAGGAAAGAGACCCTGGGTAAACAAAGCATTTACTGAAGAAAAAGTACAAAGTACGACACCTCACACTACTTGATCTCAGAACCTACTATCCAGTCACAGTAGTCAAAACAGCCTGGTATTTGTACAACAACAAACACACAGACCAATGGAACAGAATCCAGAACCCACTTGTAAATCCATCCAACTATGGTCAGCTGATCCTTGACAAAGGACCAAAGTCCATTATGTAGGGAAAAGACAGTCTCTTTAACAAACAGTGCTGGCAAAACCGGATGTCTACCTGTAAAAAAATGAAACAAGACCCGTATCGCACATCATACACGAAAACTAACTCAAAATGGATCAAAGACTTGAATATAAAACCTAAAACAAAGATCACAGAAGAAAAAACAGGGCCAACACTAGGGGCATTCATGCATGCATAAACACAATACAAACCATAACTAAATACACAAACACCAGAAGATAAACTAGATAACTGGGACCTCCTAAAAATTAACACATATGCTCATCAAAAGACTTCACCAAAAAGAGTAAAAACAAAACCTACAGACTCAGAAAAATTTTTTGCTATGACATATTCAACATGGGTTTAATCTCCAAAATCTATAGAATACTTCAACACCTCAACAATAAAAAGACAAACAGTCCAATTAAAAAATGGGCAAGGGATATGAACAGACACTTCACCAAAGAAGACATTCAGGCAGCTAAAAGACGCATGCTCGTAATCATTAGCCATTAGAGAAATGCAAATCAAAACCGCCATGAGATACTATCTCACCCTGAAATTACTGGCATTAATCACAAAAACAGAAAATAACAAATGTTGGAGAGGTTGTATGGAGACTGGAACTCTTACGCACTGCTGGTGGGAATGTCAAATGGTACAACTACTATGGAAAATGATACGGAACCTCCTTAAAAAGCTAGAACAGAAATACCATACGATCAGCAATCCTACTGCTAGGAACATACCCTAGAGAAATAGGAGCCATCACAAAAACTTTCTATTGCTATGCCTCCAAGTTCACTAATCTTTTCTTATGCAATATGTAATTGGCCATTAATCCCAACCAGTGTATTTTTCACCCCAAACATATCATCTCTAGAAGTTCCATTTAGGTCTTTTCCATATAATCTAGACACTGTCATATTCAAACAGACAGGCCCATGCAATTTTCTACATAGAATGAACCAGACTCCTGTTGATAATAAGATTTTCAAAGAAATTCTGTCACTAACATGTATTCTTTATATTCTAACTGGTTAAGCTGAACAAGTGTTAAAAAAGCAAAGATGTCACACTCTGAGGACTAAGATGCACCAGACCGAAGCCATGGAATTTTCAATCGCCTCATATGCATGCGAAAGCTGGACAATGAATAAGAAGATCAGAGAAGAATTGGTGCTTTTGAATTCTGGTGTTGGCAAGGACTACTGACTATACCATGGACTGCCAGAAGAATGAACAAGTCTGTCAGGACGCTCCTTAGAAGCAAGGGTGGCTAGACTTCGGTTCATGTACTTTGGACATGTTATCAGGAGGGTCTAGTCTCTGGAGAAGGACATCATGCTTGGTAAAGCTGAAGGTCAGCAAAAAAGAGGAAGACCCTCAACAAGACGGATTTACGTGGTTTCTGCAACGATGGGCTTCAGCACAGCAACAATCATGGGGATGGCACAGGACTGGGCAGAGTTTCGTTCTGCTGTACACAGGGTCACTATGAGTTGGAACCGACTCAACGGCAGCTAACAACCAGCTGAACGAGAACCACAGAGCACGGAATTATCTCTGAGGCTTGAGACAAAGACACAGTCCCCACTAAGGTGTATTTACACAACTTACCCTGAGTTGTGAAATTGCTGCTTTCCCCTCCTCGCTTTCTTCATCAAACTCATCATCACTCCACTCCCAGCCACCATCCTCTGTTTTGTGAAGACGGCCACTGGAACCCGGTACTCTTCGCACCTGCTCATTAAAAAGAGAGAGACGCAGATTATGGTCTGACATCTATTCAACAGAAAACGCAATCATATTTTTGTCTTCTCCTTTTAAATGCATTAAGTAGATAATTATTTTCCCCACAATCAAGTTTTCCTACATTCATATCCTCCAATTCTCACTTGCCCTCTGTTCACACTACTGTCTGTCTTTGTCAAAAGCACTAAACTTCCCTGTACTTCTACACTCTAAGCCCAAACACCAGAATTCTCCTTATGGAGGTGTTTACAGCCGCTGCCTCTAGCTCGCTGAGCTCCAGCAGGAGGAGGAGGAGGGTAAGTGAGGACGTCCCTACACCACGGCTTACACAAAGCAGACGCCCGCAGATCAACCAGTGCTCAAGCGCGCCTCCTACCGGAGGGGTGAAGAAACCTCATCGTTACAGGCCTGGTACCGTGGCACTCCGGGAAAGCAGATGTTATCAGAAGAACTTCTGATTCACAAACTTCCCTTCCAGGGTCTGGTGTGAGAAATTGCTCAGGGCTTCAAAACCGATCTGCGTTTCCAGAGCGCAGCTACTGGTGCCTTGTAGGAGGCAAGTGAGGCCTATCTCGTTGGCCTTTTTGAAGACAACAACCTGTGTGCTATCCCCGCTGAACGTGTAACAATTATGATAAAAGACATCCAGTTAGCATGCCACATATGTGGAGGACATGCTTAAGAATCCATTATGATGGGAAACGTTTCATTTAAAAAAATTCTCTTCTCCCTGTCACTGGTAGTTCTGAATGTTAGGTACTTTTTTCCGTGGGGTCAAAAGGTACCTAAGTATATGACTGCGAATGGAAAAACAGGACAGCAATCAGGTACTGGCAGTTTTTCCACTTCCAATTGTGTGTGAATTTTTAATATAAATGTGGGGACATAAAGCATTAATGCAGGTCAAACTGTTTCAGTGAACCAGTTTCAGCAGTTCAACTTTATAACAATTATAAATAAACCTGCTAAATTTTTCTGGACAATGCCAACATTTGGATTGTTTTTAAAACAAGTAAATGTCTTACTGACGGCAACTAAAGGGTGTCTGCAGCATTTTTATCACACAGCAGATTCTATCCATTCACTGTACTTTTCTGAGTTGTCCTACATGCAAGTACATGTTCTTACTGTTGTCTGTCTTCTGTGCTGTTCCTATAGGTTTGCTATTAAAATACATTAAACTATTAAAAAAAAATTCTCCTATGGATTAATGTCATGCAAAATGACGAACAGGAATCCCTATGAGTCAGTCCCTCCACTGAAATAACCATTAACTAGGGAAAACCAGCAGCATCAACTCCTTTGGGACTCTAGAACCAGACTGACACTGCTGCCTCCCAAGGCAAAAGGCAACGGCTGCTGAGCTTTGGTAAGAAAGTGGCGGGCACAGGCCAGACACCATCTCCTGTTCTTCAGCCCCACAGCAGTCACGGGGATAGTGGCCCACATTACTGGAGTGGCTGGCTGGTGCCAGGGTGGGCAATAAGGACCTTCCTCTTCAAAAATTTGGTGCTGTGTGTTTTGGTCAGTCTGGTAGTCTCCTGAAGGACTGGTGCAGACACGTGCCTTGGTTTCAGTCCTCTTGGGCTTCAGTGGCTTCCCCCCGCAACGTCTATCGGAAGATTTTGTAAAAAGAACTTCTTTGTTTTTCGGAGCCCTGGTGGCACAGTGGTTAAGAGCTCAGGCAGCTAAACAAAAGGTTAACAGTTCGAGGCCACCAGACGCTCCTTGGAAACCCTATGGGGCAGTCCTACTCTGTCCTACAGGGTCGCTGTGAGTTGGAATCGATTCGACGGCAATGGGTTTGGTTTTTTTGTTTTTCTACTGAAGTCAGACATTTAAGGAAATCATTGTCAGGTCACTTGCTGACTGGAGAGATAATGGAAAAGAAACGTCAGTGACCACGTACAACAAAGAACACAAACTGCAAAAATAGTTTGGAAAAATCACTAAATATCCACCAGACTGAGTCCAGTACAACTAGATGGTGCCCGGCTACCACCACTGACTGCTCTGACAAGGATCACAACAGAGGGTCCCAGGCAGAGCTGCAGAAAAACGTAGAACAAAATCCTAACTCACAAAAAAAAGACCAGACTTACTGGCCTGACAGAGACTGGAGAAATCCCGAGAGTATGGCCCCCAGACACCGTTTTAGCTCAGTAATGAAGTCACTCCTGAGGTTCACCCTTCAGCCAAAATTTGACAGCCCCATTAAACAAAATGAGACTAAAGGGGCACAAGAGCTCAGGGACAAGGACTAGAAGGCAGGAGGGGACAGGAAAGCTGGTAATAGGGAACTCAAGGTTGAGAAGGGAGAATGTTGACATGTCGTGGAGTTGTTAACCAATGTTATATATAAAACAATACGTGTATCAACTGTTAAATGAGAAACTATTTGTCCTGTAAACCAGCATCTAAAGTACAATTAAAAAAAGAAAACCACTAAATAAACGAACAGATGGAGCCCTCAACCAGCAAAAATCCGCAAAATCTCTGAGGAGGGAGGGAATCTGATTTCCAGAGTTACCACAAAATAACACTAAAAATGTCCAGTTCCCAACAAAACAATTAGAAAGAATACAAAGAAAAAGACGACTATGGCCCATTCACAGGACAAGAAGAATCTGACAGAAAACACTGCTGAGGAAGCTCAGATACTGGAATTCCCAGTGAAAGATGTTCAATCAATTGCCTTAAATATGCTCAATGACAAAGAAGTAAAGCATCTCAGGAGAATAACACATGAACAGACAGGAAATGTCAATAAAGAGATAGAAATTTTAAAAAGGAACCAAACAGAAATTCCAAAACTGAAAAGTGTAATAGCTGAAACATCCGGTGTCCCATCTGTCCCCTTCAGTCCAAGCTGGCATCTCTGCTCAGATGGCTGACCAGGTCCCTAAGCTACGTGCCTGATCTCTTTAGCCAACGGCTGTCCAGCCACACCGTTGGTTTTCTCTCCAAAGCATGCGTTTTCATTTTCTACAATATGGATAGGCTGAGAATTTTCCAAATCTTCAAGTCCTGCTTCCTTTTTGCTTAATAGTTCCTTCCTCAATTTCTCTCTTCTCCCTCGCATTTTACTATAAGCAGCAAGGAGAAACCAGACTGTGCCTTCAACGTTTTGTTTGGTCATCTCCTGAGCTAAATATCCAAGTTCATCACTTAGAAGTTCTACTTCCCACAAAACAGGAGACTGTAATTGAGCCAAGTTCTCTGACACTGGATCATGAGGATCGCCTTTCCTCCAGCGTCCCATAACATGTTCATTGTTATTTCCTAATAAGGCCTCATCACAAGCAACTTTAATGCTCATATTTCTACTAATCGTCTCTTTAAGGTAATCTAGGCATCTTCTGTCAAGCATCTCAAAAGTCTTCCAACCTGTATCCATTACCCAATTCCAAAGCCTCCTGTACATTTTTAGGTATTTGTTACAGCAGCACCCGACTTCCTAGTACCAAAATCAACTTTAGTTACCTAGGACTGACGTAACAAATTACCATAAACTGGGTGACCTACAATAACAGAAATGTATTCTCCCATAGCTCTAGAGGGTAGAAGTCTGAATTCAGGATGTCAGTGGGAACATGCTCTCTTTGAAGGCTCTAGGGGAAGATCCTTCCTTGGCTCTTCCAGCTTCTGGTAGCCAAAGGCGTTCCTTGGCTGTGACAGCAAAACTCCCATCTCTTCCTGTCTACACATGACTATCTTCCCTGTGTCTTCACACAACATTCTCCCTGTGTTTCTCTCTGTCTCATGCCTCTTCTTAGAAGGACAGAAGTCAGATGGGATTAGGGCCCACTCTACTCCAGAATGACCTCATCCTAGCCAATCACATCAGCAAAGATGCTAGTTCCAAACAAGGTCACTATCATAGGTACCGGGGGTTGGGATCTCAACTATCTTTTTGTGGGACACAAATTAACCCATAAAAAGTTTATTTTCTGTGTATGGTCTGAGGAAGGGCTCCAACTTTACTGTTTCGTGTGTTGCTATCCATCTGTCCCAGCACCATTTGTTGAAAAGACTATTCTTTCCCCATTAAATTTTCTTGGCATGAATGCTTCTTTAACATAACCCTATCGGTCTTTCATGAACGTAGACTCTTACCTTTAAAGAGAATCATGATTTTAAGTTGTCTTACTACATAATCTGTGTTTCCTCGCACTTACTTTTTTTTCCGGGCTGTTTATTTTGTCCTCTATCTTTTGCATTAAGAGGTTTTCCTCAGATATCCTGTGATCTCAATTTTCTGCTCATATTTAAGAGCAAGGAACTAAAAAGTTGATTGGAAGCAATGAGCTTTTAAGTGGATGGAGCTTACTGACTATGAGCTTCAGAGTAGTCTGTGGGCATTTCACTAGGGAACCCTCGATGTCAGTACCTTTAAGTTGTTCCTCTCGGGGTGGTCAGACTGATCAAATAAGGATCTTCCAATATCCTGTCTCGGTGAGTAATATGTCTAGATGCTGGTGTTCCAGCTGAATAAGGCAATGTGACTGAGGTTCTCAACAGCCAGTATATAAACATTCACTTAATGCCCATTTTAATCTCGAAAGAAATTACTCAAGATACACCCTGCACTAACCCCACCTCATTAACATAACAAAGACAACCCATTCCCAAATGAGATTATAACCACAAGCACAGAGGTTAGGATTCACAACATGTTTTGGGGGGACATAATTCAATCCACAGTACCGACCAAGTCACTGTTCACGCATCAATTTGTTTCCTGGTTCCAAAAATCTGGCTGCTGCTGTCACTTTCCCATTCTTTGTCTTTTTTTTTTTTTTAAGTGTTCTTTTATTAAGGATTTTTGGACAGGACGGTGGAAATAAATGCAGGAATTCACCATACTATCTTTTTCAGGCTCAATCTTCTTAAATGAATCAGATTGTCAGTACTAAATCAAGATGCCCCTCAGTCGGGATTTACTATAAACAAGCACAGATTTTAGTATTCATTCTATTATCCAGTGATCATTCAGAGTATCTACTGCGTGTCAGGAACTGCTCTACGCCAACTAAGACACAGCGATGAACAGAGCTCCCTGTTCTCATTAGGCTTTTGTTCTAATGGTACAGAAATATAAATGAGTATAAACTGTCAGATAGGAAGGAGGGTGCTACTTCAGTTTAGGCAGTCAGAGGAAACTATTCTGAGCAAGTGTCGTTTGAGTGGAGACCTGAATAAAGTGGGAGAATGAGTCAAGTGAGTGTCTAAGTGGCTACCCATGACAGTAATCTCTCATGCCCACGCCACAGAGACACTAACCCCACTGGTTTAGGGTGACAGTAATCTCTCATG